GATGGTGGGAGTCAAACTGTAGGTATTGGTCTGTGTGTGTGGGTTTCCTGTAAATCCCTATTTCTAGCTTGCCACAGGTCCCATGTATTAGAAAACAAAGAGGTGGTTGCTCCTTGCCACTCTCTCCAATCCACCCAAGATGATCCGTACCAGCCCATCTTACCTTTGTCTTTTTTTCTATGCATGTGGGCATATTTCTAAATAAAATACTGACTCCAGCCATTCACCATTATTTCTAAGACTATGGGGTCTACATATCTCAGAGGCAGTCTTGTAAATCAAGATGATGCTAACAAACAGCACTTTGCATTGCCCCATGCCAACAACCATCTTTATAAATTAAGAACAATGAAAGAATTAACTCAGAGTTTACTGAAGTCTGATGAGCACCAAGGAGGTGTCCATAATCATACTAATGCTCATGGTTGCTTTCCATCCTGATCTACAGCAGTATCTTCTGATGGGCTTCAGAAAGCTTAATAGAAAAATAGCAATGTCTGCTAAAATATCTAGAAGCACAACTCAACATCACACAAAACCCTTTGTTGGGGGATGATAGAGATGATATCTATTACTAAGAGCAGTGAGTTCTGTCTGCAAATGAAAGTAGATAGATCATAAAGTATAGTATAAATAACTATGATGAGCTATGCATTGGAATAGTAACCCCAAAGCAGGTCTTGGCCCTGGTGGTGATTCCATTCCAGTCATTGCATACTGCAGAACTAGGTCATGTATCACCTAGTTTTTGATGGCATATCCATGTATTCTAATTAGCTACGCATCTGAGTTTTGCATTATCATGTAGTGGCATCATTAGTGTGTAAGGGAATAAAAGCCAAGTAGCTGATGCACAAGAATATCAATTTTATTTTATAATGATCTCTTTAAAGTCTGCTTTTTCAGAGGTAATCTCATCATTGTATAATCTCACTGCTTCCATGTTTCAGGCTTCATCTTATTAGATCAAATGTGTCACACACAATCAGACTTTTTTTAGAAGCTCTAAGATGTGGATTTGTCAAAAGAGATTAAAGCACAATAAACCAAATGTTTCTTACATTTCATTCAATTTTTCTATTTTATTTAATAAAATTATTTATTTAATTTTATTCATTTTTTAAAATGTGGATTTGCAGAAAGAGTAGAGTCTCATTGCATTAGTGTTGTTGATGATGATGTTCGATGGGATGTATGATTTAAAGCATCCTTTCCCAAAGTAGCATACACCAGATGGATTGGGCATCTGGACATCTAGATTATTCAGTTCCAATAATCCCAAAACAGTATAAAATCCAACAGATCTAGAGGGCACCAGCCTGGGAAAGTTGGCTTAAAATAGAAAACAGTGTGCTTCGGGAAATAGGCAAGCCATAGATTTTATTTTTCAAGAAGAATTATGTAAACACAAACATTTGCTACTAAACTGTTTTATATGGATGTTTTTAAAAAAAAAAATCTGTAAAACTATTTTGAAAAATTATTTTACAGTTACGCATATTTTTGTAAAGATCACTTCATGTTTTTGCCACATGTATATGATTGTGAACATGATTTGATAAACCAATTATAAATATAACTTGATATTTGTTTTAAAATATATTTGTTTGTTTTTAAATCTACTTTAAGAAACCTTACAATGGAGGAAATTCTCTTTTTTATTATTAAGTCTCTGTTTTAGACTGTGTTTGTGTGGTTTTCAATCAAAAAATGTTAGGCTGAAACTAAAGACCTCTGTTGAATAGGCAAATGTTCAAATCTTACTTAATGAAACCCTACCATCAGCGGGGAGTTTACTGTAGCCTCAGAGGCATGCACAGGTTTTCACTGCTTTCCTTAGAAAGACAAAATCTGTTCAGCAGTGTTGCACTTTGAGGCATGTGTACAACATCATGATGCATGAAGAAGAGAGGCAGGGCTTGCATCATGATGCTATATTGTTGGGTCAGGCAGCCTATACAATAAATTGCATAAATAAATGTCCCACTGACGTCCCTTCCTTCTGTGTGGACGCCACACTATGGCTCCTTAGATTCACGTTTCAAAGAACAGTTTGATTGCTACCTTTGCAGTTGAAATTTTCTAAATCTGCTATCAAATATATCATCTGTTTACTGTGGAATAAGCAGAGGAATTTGGAAGATTGCAAGTAGGCAATGGAAAACAACCCCTGTTCTCTTGCCAAAAAAACTACATGGATGTGTTCATGAAGTCAGCAGGAGTCAAGCTCAATTCAGTGACTTGACTTACACCCAGAGTTAGTAACCCTGTTTCTGCTCATATTTCAAATCTTCATGTGAACAACAGACAGTTGATGAGTAACCAGAGTTGTAACAGATTACATCAGCCTATACATTTCATAAAATAAATATTTAGCTTCAGCACTACTTTTTGCAGAAATATAAATGCTATCTTGGAGTGGGGAAAAATTCTCTATTTTTACAGTGTATATCCAATATGGTATACTGTATTGAGTTAGAATAACATCTGGCTACCCACGTCTGATGAATCCCAATAGGACCAAAACAGTCATGTCATGCCTCCTGGCCCTCAATGAAACAACGCACAGGATATATACACTGTGTAAAAATAGAGAAGTTTCCCTCCCCACCCTCCTGCTTTAAGAGGGGGAGTGGAAGTCATATAAAACCCTGTACATGTTATGACATAATATAACACCTGTATCTCTCTGCTCTGAGAGATTAAGGGAAGGTGGATTATACATAACATTTGAACATTTTTTCTGATGGTGTAGCAGTGACGTGATGATGTAACCAGAAGTGATAAAGCTATAATATTGGCTTTTGGAAGGTAGGGAATTCGTATATTTTTTACAGTTAGTGTTAAAATAAGTGTTAAGCCTACTGGAAGCTTTCATTTTCCATCAGTGTAATTGAATAGTTTTCTGTTGAACTGGGAAGAGCTTAGGTCTGCAGGTTATCTACCATGGCCTTAGATTATTCCAGGAAGCCACTCAAATATACATATTTAATTCATCATTCTGATATTCCACTTTTCTTTTCCAACTAAGTGCACATCCAGGCAGCCAGTTTAATGTGTTTTCTTCCAGCCCATGAGATGACACAAAGGTATGCCACCGTAATTTGCTCCATCTTCACAGCAAATCTCTATTCTGCCTCCGTAACAAGGCCAGCAAGGGGGGGGGGGCTACCCTGCCAGTTTAGTGCCAGGCAAATAAGGTGCAGGGATTGATGCATTTCCTGCCAGCAAAGAAATACCCACATCACTCTCTATAAAGTGAGGTGGGGCTGAGGGAGGAGGTGACTTTAGACAAAGAATCAGATCACAGGATGGGGTGGGGTGAGCTGCTCTGCCTCCCC